AGTCTTACTACGTTGGGCCATGTGTCGACTTCCATTGGTATTGTTATTTTCCCCAAGGGCCTAACTTCTTCTCCGCTGAAGCCTACCAAGGGAGTATTCGCGGGCCTCAAGTTACTTCCCTGCAGCTGAAGCTGGTCGAACGTGACTTTGAAGAGGATATCCGCCGAGCTACCTGAATTAACGAGGACACGCCTGACCTCGAAATCATTGATCTTTACTTTTATGACGAGCGCATCATCGTGGGGGTAGTGGACCCCGTGCGCATCGTCCTCCATGAAGAAGATCGGCTCCTCTGTCTTTGGCCATTTCGGAGGATTATGTTCTTCTCTGGTAGCTTCGCGAACTGATGTTCGAGCTGCCGCCGAGGTACAACCCGCAACGATCGAGCCTCCAACTATCATGTGAATGGTGCCCTGAACTGGCCTCTCTTCTGGGGGCTGCCTCTGTGACTGCTCTGCCGGCCTGCTGCTGGACTCGGGAGCATCCTTACCGTGCTTCCCTTGCCAACCTGCTTTATTATTATTATTATTATTATTATTATTATTATTATTATTATTATTATTATTATTATTATTATTATTATTATTATTATTATTACTATTACTTTGTACAAAATTCCTTAGATATCCACGACGAATGATTTCCTCTATCTCGTCGCAGAGATTCTTACAGTTCTCAGTACTATGACCGTGGTCTCTATGAAATCTGCAATATAAATTTTTATTTCTTTCATTAGGATTCCCCCTCAGGTGGGGTGGCCACTTCACGTACGGGGCATCCTTGATTGCCATCAGGATTTCGGCCTGCTTAGCATTCAATGGGGTGTAGTCAGTTCGGTCCGCTACAGGGGCTTGGAATGGCTGACTCGGCTTTGCCCCCCGAGCTAAATCCTTCTTCTTTCAGCTGTCTCCTTGGCTGGAAAGTTCCCCTTTTCTCTTTCTCTTTTCGGGCGCACTCTCGCCCTTCTGGTTGATCTCCTCTTCCGTGGCTATGAACCTGTCTGCGAGCTTGAGGAATTCAGTTATGGTCGCCGGTTGGTTGACAACCATGTGCCACTTGAATTCCTTGTGCGTCACGCCCTTCTTGGCTGCTGCAAGGCGCACTACAGGGTCTAGGCACGGTATCTGCATGCATGCATCGTTGAACCGCTTGATGTAGCCTCGGATGGACTCTCTTGCATTTTTTAAAATATTTTCCTTAATTAGTTTGTGTGTCTCTTGATTTCCCACCTACGCCTTTCCAGTTTCCTCCTTAGACCGCTGCTGGTCAACCTCCATTCCCTCCAACCCATGGTTGCCACCTGTGAACCATCCCGCCACGTCACCTTCATCTTCTTCCATCGTGCTTCGCCCCTAGAGCTCCACTTCCTTCTCTAAAACCAGTCAGATCTTATACCAGACTTCATCAACCAACATTTTGACTACCCTTGGGACTGATTCTGGTTCCACCCCCTTAACCCTAACCTCCACAGCTCGAAAATTTTCCATATTGATTTCCTCCACCACCCCACCCAACATCTTTACTATATTGTCCAGGTTAGATTCATTCCAGAGGTGAAATGGGAGTCCAACCATTTTTAGTGTGAAGCTCCCTCTGGGAGGCACCAACTCATTACACATAGGTTTCTATTTTTGTACGTATATCAACCCATCTTCCCATTCAAAAGCTGTGAAAACTCTATTTTTTCGGTCTTCAATTTCTAAGACTGCATTCCGGTTTGAAAATGGCTTTAAGGATACCTTCACATCTAGCTTCAGATTGTTCACCATGAAGGGATGGGAGATCCATCATATGGATGGCCAAACCTTGCAGGAAGGTTGGGCAAAATTTCAAAAAATTTCTTTTCTCCCATCCAGGAATCACATTCCCTAATTTAGAAAGTTGCATTTTCAACATTTGTTCTTGAATCCAAAACGGACCAAATATGAAACCAATAGGAAGTGAGGGATATACTTGATATGAAGTAGCAGTAACTCCCAATGCAGGTAGGTGTTCACGCCCAAAGATAAAACCAAAACCCGCTTTCATTGTAGATGACAGAGTGTGTAGTGAAGCAGGATCAGCAACATGGTTCTTTACCAAGAACCTGAATTCTTCAGCAAGAATTAAGCAAGGGCTGGTGAGCATGACTTCATATTGCCTCTTCTACCAATAAGCAATATCAAGAACTCTTCTTGATCAGATCCACAAATGGAGATTGAACTAGGTAGGGGCGACAATAACTAGGGAAGAATTCTGCAGTTTACTGTTGTGTGTAATCTAAAGAATTCGCCCCCTATTTATAGACTTCTCTAGATCAGCCTCGTAATCTAATTATGAGAGAGTTTCCTAATCCAAATCATATATTTGGATCTAGACTCTTAAATGGATAAGACTTATCTTATCCTTAAGCTAATCCTAATCAGTTTAAAACTAAATTAACCCCCTTTTAATTAACTAAATTAAGCCTAGTTCGAATTGGACCTTAAGCCCATTAAGCTTATTTTCTCACTTACTCTTTAACCTGCTGCCCAGTTGGCTCTCTTTGTATGGCATGGGATCCTAATATTGATCTACACATCAGCCACATGGGTTCAGCCTAGCCTCTGTTACAAGGCCTGGCCGAATTCACTATAAAAGACAGTGAACCCTTGAGTCCATCACCATGTGCTCTTAATGGGCCCAACATTTACCCTAAAAGGTTCTTGGATCCAGCCACCTTATAAAACCCAAGAACTGTGGGCAGATGCAAGATTAGCCCATCAGGTATTACCCTCAATGGTCTTACACTTAACCTCTCAGCCCATAATGATCAAACACTACCCAACAAGAGAGGACCTCTCCCTCGGCTGCAAGGTACAGTGTTGTACTCTCTACTCACATGGATCTCGGGAATTAAAACATTTTGCAAACATTATATATATATATATATATATATATATATATATATTAAAACCTAAACTACTAGCAATTTAGGTTTCCATCAGAGATAGTGCCTTCCCCGATCATTCACTTTGTCCGACAAAGGGGATGATCCTGTCACTATGATCATTCACTCAAGTGAATTCTCAGACTGTCCCAACATACCCAAGTTTTAACCCCCTCTAAGGATCTCACTAATTGGCATATCAAAGACAGCCCAATCTGACACCCAGTGCAGTACCATAATCGAGTCTAAGGGTCAGTTGTAACATTTCAGTTTTGCCCATCTATCTCCAAAGTCCAGGACAATACTGGAATTTGGTCTGGTTCAGGGTTTCAAGAAAAATCACACTACATGTACCTCAGGTCTCACCCTGGTAGCTGAGACAAGCCACCCCAACCAACTTGGCGGTACATTAGTGTCAGCCTTGGCAGGATAAATCTCCCCAAATCTATCCAACGGATGTGAAGTTTCTAAACTAACATGAGTCTCATAAGTATTCAGTTTAAGGGTATTACACAGAAACACACCACAATGACATGAATCAATTATGTACTTTATTCATCGACAATAAATGTCAAAAGATACATCAATCTTCTGATTGGAACTAAGGGCATAAGTGTCTAGTTAAAGGGTATTACACAGAAACACACCACAATAACATGAATCAATTATGTACTTTATTCATTTACAATAAATGTCAAAAGATACATCAATCTGATTGGAGCTAAGGGCATAACTGTGTAACACACCACAGCTTCCAACACCTTCCTCCAATCCTGTACATTATTGCTGGTTGTAATCACCATCTTCTTCTCCCACTCATCCTTCTCAGCCTTAAACCAGACTTTCAAACCCTTGCCTAAGAATGCTACTACCTTTCCGTAGCTGAAGGAGTCCTATTTCAGTGCCTGACTCGAGGTCTTATGCATACTCTCATCTTTGCTCTGTTCTTGTTTGTGTTTCATTTGCAGATGGTTATCGATCATAGCCAAGTACTTTTGTAACTCAGCCGCGAAATTTATCAAACCTCGTGTATTCTTCCCTTCCGGTAAGCAGACCATTTGTTTCCGGTCCCCAAAATACTCGATGATGGTAATGAACCATCCTTTCCTATTGCATCTTAGTTCCACTACAAATTTCTTCCTTTCCAATTCCAATAGATTTCTCCACCCTACATTTTTTACGGATTGGAGTACTCCATCGATGAAACCTTTCAGCCAGGGGAATGCTTCCTCCAGTTGAATTATCGTCGCCCTCCTACCTTCTCTTACCTTTAAGAGATTTCTACCTCTTGCCTTTCCGCTTTCCAGGAGAAGTTTCTTCACTTCAATGTCCAGTACTGACTTCCACCTACTCGCCACCTAAAACTGTGTCGCTTCCTCTTCCCATCCTCTCACTCACCTCTAATGAAGGACCTTTCTCACTCTCTTCCTGAAACTTTGCTTTCAGGAAGATATCCCCTATAGGGATTACAAGATTATCACATCAAATAGTGTAACCTTCTTTAATAATGTAATTTTCTTCAATGTTTATCAAGTGCCACCCACAAGTTCACATTTAACGTAAACTATTAAAAGCAGCATTCAATGCTGCCTGCACTTGAGTTGGGGGTTTTATGGGTTTGGGGGATGGGTGTAGCCCCTTGGAGGAAAAAAAATAAAATGTATTGCACCATATCGGTGGGTATCATAGGATGCGTATAGGTTTTGTAATCAACAGATAAATGAAATGCTAGAAATTAGATTAATAAGTAATAACCTTCCTAAAATTGCCATGGCTCAGTTCTTGAAACTTCAATTTTTTTTAACCAAGACCATTGCGCATGGCCACGTTGAACCTCGACGAAAAGTATTTATCCTTGTGCGTGTAGACTTACTCATGATCATCTAAAATTAATACTTAATGTTATATTTTTTAAATTTATTTCAATTTTCTTAATGTTTCCCAGGTATCCATGCGCATTCAAAACATAACGAGAATTGTGATACATGTCATAAAATTGCTTTCTGTTACTTGGTTATAACTTGAGACTTGCCTGAATCACAGGAAATGAGGTTATAAACTACACAACGCTTGGGGGAGATTGAATTCAACATGAAAGAAAAATATTGGGTAATAATACTGCATTAAATGTCAAGTGACCCATGTTCCTTTTTTTCCCGTAGTCGGCCTCCTCGTGATTTCCAAATTCAAAGTTGCAAGCAATTCATTATCATACTCATACTGGAGAAAACAAAAGAAGCACAAAACACCTGACTTGTAATGAATAGACAAATGATCCCTTTACCCACAATATTAATTCCCATGTAACGGCATAAACCATGACCACTACTACAGTGAATGGCATAGATAGCATCATGACAACCCGTCACCAATGTCGTTGAGTTTGTTTTCACATTTCTTCCTACTTTCTGTTAGTAGTAGGTAAACTATGAGCAGACAGGGCAACCATATCAGCAGCAGAATTGAGTTGATAATAATTAGGGTTAGGGGAGAATGAAAAAGGGAAGGGAAAAAAGGAAAAAAAAAATGAATCCCCTCAAGTTACAGACCTCTACAGCCTTTTATCCTAATAAAGACCAGGCTCTCGAACCTGAGGCCCATCCAATCAAAGATTCCAAAATAAATGAGACCATCCATCGCCCACGAACAACAGTGAGGCATGCACAGAAAAAGGCCAGGACGAGTAATGAATGACACCATAGATTGTAGGTTCTCCAATTAACACCAGGGCACTCCTATTATGAAATTCTTACACGGTACTTCCAGCTAACCAAGCAACAGCCTGAACACGTCACTCAAGGAAACAATACCTTCTACACGTTTGCTGCCAGCCTCGACAATTACAAGCCGCCTCACTCCTGAACCCACAAATAATTTGGGGGTTGAAGATTCCAATAAAGAGCCAGTCATGAACAATTAACACTTGGGAAATAATAGAAAAAAAAGTATGAAAAAGGTTCACCTGGATTTGACAACCGTTCCATCACTTTATGCAGAGGATCAGTACGCAGACACATTTGACATCTCTGGCCGTTGAAGAAGCCATAAGGAGAATTTCCATCTTGTCCCAGTTGCAGCGCCTACAATAAACAAGGGCAAGAAAGGAATCGAGTTCTCAGATACATGGTTAATTGTTTATATCTATTCCTTGTTATTAGGACTAAACTTCAATTTCTTCATCTCACCAAAGAAACAAGTATTCTGAAATTAGACAATTCAGAATATCTAAAACAATGTGAACACCAACCAGAGGCAACTAAGCTGTAAATAGTTCATAGTACACAGCTAATTTCGTAGTTCAGACCATGATTCCCATGATCCTAGTAATTTGGCTCCTTAGAGGTCCAATAACCTTTGATATTTGGAATGCATTAAGACAATATAGTTTTTACCCACCAAAAGCATACGAGACTAAAGAAAAAACAAATATCTAGAATGACATCCAACATTTTTCTTCTATTTGAATGCAACAACAAAAAGAATGGATGCCATCGAACACAATATAATAGCAGTCAGGGATGCTACCCTTTTTTGATAATAAAAATTAAAACAAATCATTAATGAAAGAAAGATATTGCAGCAGAGAACACCCTGTGATCAGACCTGTAAAAAACACAAAATAAATGGAGAAAAATCCTAGGAGAATCCCAGGACAAAGAGAAATAGAAGAGAAGAAGATTGAAAAGGAAATAGGGCTGAAGACAGAAGAATTTGAGAGTCTCAACTGCAACCCATTTTATTATTTATGTTAATGAATATTCATAATTACATTATTACCCTTGATTAAGTGAGCTAAGAAAGAAACAATGAGAAACATAAATGAATAGAAAAAGACTAAAAGGACCCTGCAATAAACACTATAATTTAACATACCCCAACTATCGATCTCAAAACATCCCAAATACTTGATCAGGAACAATATAACCATGAAAGGCTGACAAATATCAGCACGGGATCATTGGATTTCTAAGCTGAGCATGCTCTCTCTGTTCAGAGAATAAGCTAGGCACATTTTGGCATGGATAAGGGCCTGACAGCACCAGAAAAGCTTCTACCGGTCCAAGTTTCCCGAGATAAGCATAAAAGGATTTAATCATCAATATAATAGTGGCATCATCTTCTTACTGCCATAATGTAAAGCCCAAATAATAAGTTTGATCTTGCTAAGGATAGGGATGGACTGGACCTTTTTGACTCTTAAGTTAAGTTTTGACAGTGAAAATGGTTGATGGTCAGCAAAGAAAGCTTCTCATATCAACATGATAGAAGATACTGTGGTCTTCAACTCCATGTTACCAATTGGGAAGACCATCCTCTAGAGGTTCTCTTTTGAAACTAAATTAGACTACTACAGAACCAGGAGAGGAAGATGAGAAGGTTTGGACACCAAACTTTCGCAAAACTTTCACTAGTAAATCATTCTACACTTGTCTAATCTATGATGACATGGATTCATTCCCTTAAAAGTTGAGATTGGCACCTAATATCCCCTCTAAATTTACATGCTTCATGTTCTTTATATGGATGGTATAAATAAACCACCAAATCTAAAGAAAACTGACACATCAAAGCACACATGTACAGTGAGAATCTCTACATTTTAGAGTTACAGATAAACTCCTGACCCTGGAATTCCCCAAATGAATCCGTGTACATGCTTAGACCTGTTCATGGGCCGGGTAGCCAGACAGCCCAGCCTGGCCCGGCCTGCACCCCGGCCGGGCTTGGTCATATAATAAGGCCCGCGGGCCTGACCTCGGGCCTAACACAGTAAGCCCAACTGTGTTCCGGGCCGGGCTCAGGATTTGTCAAAAAAGCCCAGCCCGAGCCCAACTTAGTATTATATATTTTATAAAATATATAATATGTATTTTATATATTATATAAAATATATAAATAATATAATATTTATTAAAATATATATTTATAATTTAATATATATATATTTTTATTCTTTTCTTTATAATTTCAATCTCTCTCTCTATTCAGCCGCTTCAACATTAATAATAGTAATAGAATAGGCTAAATTTCGGGCCCAGGCCCAGGCTCGGGCTTTGAGCTTTTTATGAGGGCCAGGCTCGGGCTCGGGCCTTAGAAAAATTTGTTAATACACAGTAAAAGCCCGGCCCGAGACCGGCCCGGCCCATGAACAGGTCTACTCATGCTATAGCTAAGCTGTCAGCTAGGGTGTTAGCCGATCTAGGGATCCACCTGAATGAGCAGTTCAGGCTGATTCCAATGGATTTGCCTTCCCTAACCAAAGCTCTAAGCCAACCATGTAGTGCTTCTTGGTTCCCTGATTCCAAAAAAGTACCTAATTATTTCCTCCACTTTCTCAGGGTCCGTTTGGTTCACAGTCGGAATTGGAATGGTCTATTCCCATAGTCTGTTTGGTTCAGACAGGAATGGGAATGAAAATTAAAATCAGCAGGAATGGGATTTCATTCCCAAGGGAGGGGCAGGGAATGACCATTCCCTCAAATGGGGGAATGCCACTCCAGCAGGAATGGGAATGGGAATGGGATTCCGATTCTGCACAAGCAAACAGTTGGAACCGAAATAGTCCATTCCGATTCCGATTGCATACCCCTATTCCTGCAAACCAAACGGGTCCTCAATCATTTTAATTGGGTCACTTAACCAGGAAAAATGTGGAACAGGAGATGCAACAATATGGATTTCACAAAGGAAATTCAGTTCTTTTTACATGCAAATAGCATCTAAGAGAACCTCTACATCACCACATTCCAGAAAACCATAGACCTAATGGCTGCAACCAAGGGGGATCCTTGGATGCTTAAGGAGCCAGTGCAAGGTCACACAGCACATGGAAGTAGCATCTCATAAATTTAACATTGTCTGAAGAATGCCCTTCCTCTCGTAGGCATGTAAAAAAGTCCGAGTCTAGATTCATAACCCTATAAAATGACTGCAATTGGCATGGCACAAGAAAATTATAATCTTCTTTTATGATTGATGACAATACTCCTTCACAATCTACCCACTTTCAAGATGAATCAAAGCAATTAAGATGGAGTAGACTGTAAGGTATTCCAAATACCTGATGGATAGTCATTTCATCAAGCTGGATCTGTGCATAAGCTCTATCTTTGGCCAAAGCAGTTATATCACTGTAAAGGAAATAAAGAAATATCGATTAATACAGAAGAATAGCTGAAGACTGAATCTAGAGCTTAGGCACAAAAGAAAAAGCAACATCTTATAAGTAGGAAAGAGAGATTACCTTCGAGAATATATATCTAGTAGTGAGTCATTATCATCAACTATTGGTATTGAACTAACTTGAGCTGCAAAGAGAAAAATACAGTGACATAAGAAAAGCAGAAACAGAAAAACTATGATAAGACACCCTGCTAAACAGTGATTTAAAAGGCGTGCCTAGGCGCACAGGCAAGGCACATTTTAGGGTAGGTGCCTCGCCCATGTCCTAGCTCCTAGGCGCAGCACGTTCAAAAGGCACACGCCTGGTACGCCTAGGTGTGTGCCTGATGCACCTTAGCCTAGGCGTGCCCCTTTTGAAAATTTTACGCTTTTTTGCTATTTCTGAACCTAGCCATTGGGCCAAGGGCTCCACCCCAGACCCCTGTGCCACGCACCAAAGCTCCAAGAACCCCCTATTTGCTAATGTTGTTCATTCATTCATCCAACTAAAATATCTTCTTAAAAAGCAATTAAAATCATAAAATCATTAATTTTTGTTTGAGAACTAAGAATTTAAGACCTTAACATGGACTTGTTTGGGCTTGCCTCAAAGGGCATGGCACAATGGTGGCTCATAGAATCAGGAATGTAATATGTTTTACATCACATTAGCTACTTGAAGTAATGCAATTGAAAGAAAAAAAAAAAAAAAGAATTTAAGACCTTAACATGGACTTGTTTGGGCTTGCCTTGAGCGGCATGGCACAATGGTGGCTCATAGAATCAGGAATGTAATATGTTTTACATCACATTAGCTACTTGAAGTAATGCAATTGAGGGAAAAAAAAAAGAGATTGTGGGCTTTACATAATTGAAAATGTTGTATGTGTTTGATTTTATTTTTAAATTTTCATTTGAATATGCTTTACATGTTATGTTTATGTATTTTAATTTTTGGTAATAGGTTTTTTAAAACATTAATTTTAAAATTTAAGTTATATTTCTTATTAATATTATGTTTAATATTCTTTTGCTTTTTTTGGCATTTTTTTGCTTCATAGGTTACTGACAACAAATATTACTAGAATCGGCATGTTCCCCCCAATAGTATTATAACAAAAGTTGGCAACAATATTTTAGGTTTTTGGTATCAATGTTATTGGCCACCTAATGGATACGATCATCACTTTGAGCCAGCTTGAAATTCTTTCAAAGTTCAAACATGAAGTTAAGTCTTAGTCTTCTATTGTATGATGCATTATTTGGTTGGTTTATTAGAATCGTTTGCACTTTCTATGAATTTAAATTTGCTTGAACTCACTCTATCATGTAGTTTTGATTATTTAGAACAAGATGATAATTTAGAAGGGTCTACCTATGCATCGTTTTTTTATCATTAGAAAGAAATTTATTTAGGCAAACGTCAAGATTAGAACAGGGTGGGAGTAATTTTCCACCCCAAGCAACAGCAGTTTACAATTTTTCCCAAAACATTTATTGTCTAATAGACCCTTGTTTAGCTAGTGTATCTACCACTCCATTTGTTGTTCTCAGACAGTTGAAAGAAACATTTAGTCCCCTTTAATGTTTTGAATCCCCCAAAACATATGTCTAAAGACCCAAGGGATTTGGGTGCTGCATCTTTTGTCCAAAAAATGACCACCTAAGAATCCCCTTCCACCTCTAGATTGTGGAATCCAAATTGCTTAGCAAACTTTAATCCATGTACTAAGCTGAGCACTTATACTGTCAGTGTGTCACCATACCCTGTAGATCCTGAGTACAAAGCTAGCACATTTCCTTATGGATCTCAAAAGACGCCTCCTAGCCCAGCCACACCAAGATTACTTATAAAACTTTACATCAAAGTTAAATAAAATTGGTAGTCGGGAGTTTCCAGTCCATAACTAGTCTTTCCTTTTCTTGAGTGAGCAGCTTTTATATAATTGGTAGTCGGGAGTGTGCAGCTTCTATTTTAATTATGTCAATGATTTCAGCCTCAGGCCTACTCCTTTCATTTAAAATTCTCCCATCTCTTTCTTCCAAAATAGTCCATATCACAGCCGCCCTCATTGCTTCCCATAGTAATATTCAAGAAAATTGGATAAAAGAGACCCACCACATCCTGAGGAGGATTCCTCACACCCAAAGAATGAACAAAGACACTCCCAAATAAAAAGCACAAAAGGACAGGATATAAAAATATGGGTAATAGTTTCACCATTGTCTTTCCAAAGGGTACACATGTGAGGGTAGGGTAAAGGCACTTGTTTGGCCTTCTTTTCTACAGCACATCATAGGTGTTAATCTTTCCAAGGAAGACCTCCCAACAAAGGGCCTAAATTTTAGGAGGGATAGGCTTGCTCCAAATTTCTTTCACTGGAAAGTTAACCCCCAATGTATTAGGCTGTATTAAAAAGTTGACTAAATATGGGTAAAAGAGCCAACCGGAGAAATTGAACACACCCTACTGTCCTCCACACTTTGATCCAAAAAAAAAACATTGAATCAAGTCTGACCAAAAGAAGGATGAGGGATTCACATTCAACTTCCCCAAGACCTCTTCTAAATCCAAACTCCCAATTTAAACCTGAAGCAAAGAAAGCCACAAACTTAGATATGGATTCAGATGTAGTTGGAAAGTGCATAAATCATAGGAAATTGGATTTTTTTGATAATTGAAAAAATATTAATTCAATAATCAAAAGATAGGACTGTTACAAGCATCCCATAGTAAGGCACGAGATGCAGTCTTACTCTAAAACAAAGGCTAAAAATACATCCATTAAGAAACAAAGAAAAGTCTATTACACCAGAACAGAGGTCTTCTCACCCATTGGCATCTCACATTCATAGGTCTTGTTAGCCAACTGCCTTTCTTTGTAATATCACTAGAAACCCAAGCAGCCAAGTCCGGAGCCAACAACCATCGAATAACCACCTTAGAGTCACCTTCAATTATTAGATTTTCCAGAGTAAGTTGACTAGCTAGTCAAACCCCTTGTAAGACTGCCATTAATTCAGCCCTTTTAAAGGTGCCTCTACCCACAAGTCACGAGAACAAAACTAAGATATTGCCATCCTTATCTCTTAGAACCCCTCCAATACCAAACAAACTAGGGTTACCTTGATTATTTCATCAAAGTTTAATTTGATAAAACCTTCAGGCAGATGAGACCAATCTATAATGATACTCCTCTTGCAAGAGGAGCTACTAAACACTTCTGTCCAACTTCTCCACAACTCATCAAAGGAGTAGGACTGAAAAGAAGTTGTAGTCTATAACCAGTGTATTGTCCTAGTCAAACTACAATCCTTAACCTTTGTCAAAGTTCTTTCCTTATCATGAAAAATCCTTGCATTCCTTTCCTCCCAAAGTGTCCACAAAGAAGCTGATCTAATGCATTTCTACCATTACCCTCCCTCTTTTTGTACGCCAAGCAAAAGTTGAGGACTCGAGCAATAGTCTGGCTTCTAATGACAGATTCCACCTACACCCAAAAAGATAAAAATCCCAATTCCAAATAGCCACAGCAAAGGAGCAGGAAATTAGTAAATAATAGTAGTCTTCACCAGTTGATTTGCAAAGAACACACTAGATCAGAGACAAACACATAAAAAGTCCCTTCCTCTACACATTATCTAAAGTATTAATTTTCCCATGAAAAACTCCCCAACAAAAAACAGAAACCTTAGGGGGATAGGCCTATGCCAAACTTCATTTACTGGAAAACCCAAGGAGGTTGGGTTAGAACAAAGGGACTTGATGAAGGAAGCAACTGAAAACGAACCGTTCGGAGAGGGAGACCAAACTCTTCCATCTGATTTGGAAGATTCTAGACAAACATCACCAAGAGTAAGTAGAAGATCTAAAACACTAACAAGCTCATCATCTTTTAATCCTCTCTGGAATAGAGACAGTTTCTTTTTTTGTAAAGAGAAATAAAGTATAGGGAGGGAAAACGATCCTTTAGAGCTCAACTGCCCACCCAAACATCATCCTAAAACAATACTAAACTTCCAAAGCAAACACCAGACCTTATGAAGTTGTGAAACTAAGGATAATAGCAATAGTTTTCCAAGGCAAAGCCAAAGTAGCCTGTTGAGATACACCAGCGTCCCAGGTTCCAGCCATTATTTGAACGACCATAAATACTATCAAGTACCTGCCATAACACCTCTCTCTCTCTCTCTCCCCCCCCCCCCCAATGGCCACCTCCATAACCATTTCTCCAACAAGGCCACATTTTTGCAAGTTAGATTCCCAAATCCAAGTCCACCCTCCTCTTTAGGTTGACAAACAACCTTCCACTTTATCAAGTGATCCTTCTTCTGATCCCCGACTCACATAGGAAATTTTTCATCAACTTCCCTAGAAGTGATTTTGAAGACAGAGAAAGTACATTGGTAAGTTAGCTAGTGTGGCTTTAATCAAGGTAACTCCCTCCCACAAAGATGTAGTTCTTTTTCCATGTTGCCAACCTTTTTTCAAATTTTGTGAGTACCAGAATCCAAAAGTGACTCTCCTTTGGATTTGCGAATACCCTAATAACTTCCACCCTATCAACTTTTGAGATTAGGTGACTAAACACATCAGCTACCAGGGTAAAAAGGAAGGGAGGGAGTGTGTCACCTTGTGTCAAACCTCTACACGTTTGAAAAAAAAAAATCCTTGCCCACACCATTGACCAGAACTGAGTAATGACAAGAATTTAAGCACCCCAAGTCTTTTTCTTGGCCACACCATTGACCAGAACTGAGTAATCCTTGCCCACACCATTGACCAGAACTGAGTAATCACACCATCTATCCCCGAAACCACAAAACTCAAGCAACTCTAGGAGAAAGAATCAATCCAGCAGGCCATAGTCTTTTTCTAAGTCAAGCTTACACACAAGTCCCTGACAACCAAATCTCCTCATATCCTCCATGCACTCATTAGCAATAAAGATATGATTATAAATTTGTTTTCCTTGCACAAACACTCCTTGAGCTTGACTAATTAAATTGGGAAGCACCTTTCTAAACCTCAAGGACAATACCTTAGCCAAAACTTTTTAGATACTAGTAACTAAACTAATGGGCCTAAATCCTTAGGGTGTGGCTTTAGATTTCTTAGGGATGAGCACTAAGAAGGTAGCATTGACCCCTACACTAACTCTATGCCTATCTACAAACTCCATGGTTTTCAAAACCGGACCGGACTGGAAAAACCAGGAACCGGTCACCTAACCGGTTCCGTTTTACCCCAGAACTGTCTTTTTGGCCAAAAACCATTGATTTGGTCAGCAAATCGCTGACCCGAGAGATCAAATTGTTCGAACCGTCCAGCGGTTTTTGTCCGCCTTTTATTATTTTTTTCTTTTGTCAAAATGGGTCATCCGTTCGGTTCGAACAGTCGGACCATTCGACCCGAGAACCAGACCCCTTAACAGTTCGTTGTCCGATTCGGTTTTAAAAACCTTGGCAAACTCTGAAAAGACCTCAAGCAGATAATCTTTAATCACATCCCAACAATCTTGGTATTAGGCCATCGTGAAACCATCTGGATCTAGAGCTTTATTTGTCCATTGAGAAAACCGCTTTTTATCTCTTCTTTCTCAAAACTTCTCTCAAGCCATCGAGAACTTTCTTCATCCAACCTTGACCACTCCGGATCTTCCAGGCTTTGCCTAGAGTTCAAGGGTCGTCTAAAGCAAGAGTTGAAGTGTTACACAAAGATTCTAGCTATCTCCACTTGAAGTGAACTCTTCCCCATTGACCTCTAACTTACCCACAAAGTTCTTCCTCCTTCCATTGGCCAAGGCATGGAAGTACTTAGTGTACCCATCCCCTTCCTTAATCCACTTATGTCTATTATTTTTGCCTCCATGAAAACTCATCTCTTAATAGGACTTCTTCCAATTCTTCTTGAGTTTCCAGCACACCTCTCGCTCTAACTCACCCATTGATCTTTGGGCTTCCTTCCCATCAAGTTCCTCAATTTAGGTCTCTTATTCTTCCACCCCGCGGCCCTCCTTCCACAGTTGCACTTCAATGGAGAACACCATCCAAACAAGGTAAGAAAGTCCATCTATTACTAGTTTACTACCACTACCCTTCTTGGGATATCATTAGGTTTAACTCCACTTAACTTGAGAGCTATAGAGTGGAGATCGTAATTGAAGACTCAATCTAATCTAGCAAATACAAATCGAAGCTCTTGACTGTAACACATCATCCCTCCAAAGGTGGAATGGCAGACCTAGAAAAAGAACAATAACACCGTCCTCAATACTATGGTTTTTAGTATTTGAAAGAGGAACCCACTTTGAAACTGTGAAGGCACCTGCCTCCAACTAAAAACTTAACGCCATGGCTTCAACTTTAATTTCATCCACTTCAAGCAAAGCCTTACACTTATTAAAAGGGGTAATAACAATTGATTCTTTCAACTTTAACTCTCACAAGATCACCTCTACCAATCTTCCAGTTGGGCTGATTTCTTGACCACAAACTTTCTTCCCTATTCCTCCTTTCCACCATTTGTTATCAATTTGAAGTTTCCTCTTCCTTCTCTACAACTACCAGACTTTGCTCCTTCCCTACTAGTGTTTCAATCTTTTCCAATTGGAGTAGGAAATCACCAAGCAACCCTGCAACTTGCTTCCAGCCTTGACCCTTTCTTCCTTCATGGAAGCACCCTAGCTGCATCCTTCCCAAAAACGTTCCTGAAGTGCAATAAACAAACCTTTGGCATTCTTTTTACATTACACCCCGTACCTTCTTCTTCCTTCTAAACTAAGCGCCCTATAGTTTGTTTGCTTACCTTTGGAGCTTGCTCCCATCACAAACTCCTTAAGCCATTCTATCACTTCAAGTCCCACCAGCAAGACAGTAGCCTTCTTTACCTCCTGGGATCTTCATGCTCAGCAACCCTTTGATCCCCATCTCTTCAAATAAAAAGTCCTTAGCTTCAACTTTCAGAACTTTCTTCCATCTTGCTTTGCTTCCACGAACCTCTCCATTTAATGATAGATATTTCCACCAACATGAACATTTTAAACCTTACTTCCACCGCCTCACCCCAAGTGCCTTCGAAGGCTCCCCCAAACCCCCTTGAGTTGTTCAAACTTACCTCTGTAAGTGCGAACAATTGGGATTATCTGCCAATTCTCAATGCTAGCTTCAAAGGTGATAGAATAACATCCAAATCAAATCTAAGCCTAAATATATTGATTGTAACTAGCCTATCAAGCACAGAAAGAGCCCATTAAACTTCCTTCATATCAAACAAGCATTCCAATTGTAAAAATAAATATAAACCTTTTTTAATCCCTCCTTTGATGTATAAAAGGCAAAACATGGATTCATTGTATATAGTTCTGTTTCATTAACCATAGTCCCCATATACAAGTTCAAATGGCCCTTTTCCTGATTATTTAGTATACACTACCTCACTTAACTATCGAAAGAAATAAACAGAAAAAACATCACTCTGGTAAGATTCATCAAGCCATGAACTCGTTGCTATACAAGTAGAGAATATGACTTCACAATAACAAACATCATTCACACTATTCTCAAAAGGAGTGTGTTCAATGAAAAATAATTGATTATCTCCTCGTTGTTGTACCCTCTACAAGGCTAACAGTGAGAATTGTAATCATTTATTTAATACCTGTTCCTTTGTTATAGGAATTTGGGAATGGCTTTACTCTCTATTTGGGTGCAAGTGGACTCCTCCGAATAATGTCAAAAGATCTCTTTGCCACAACAGCATTTCCATGTCCAACAAAAAAAGGAAAACATATGTGGAGGTGGGGTAGAGCAGCAATTTGCTGGCCACTGTGGATAGAAAGGAACGCAAGAATTTTTAAGGAAAAGGAAAGAAGAAAGGAAGCTTTAATTGAAACTATTTTGATTAGAGTGGCTCTCTAGCTTAAATCCATGGATGCTTTCTCACATATGTCCTTCGATGATATCATTAGAAATTGGAAGGAGGTGGCGGATTCAACTTCTAATAAGCAAGTTATCAGTTCTGTTTGGTCACCATCAGAAAGAGGATTTATCACATTAAACTTTGATTGAACTAGGGCAATCTGACTTTGTCTAGAATTGGAGGGGTTCTCGGGGATAACGAAGATAAGGTTATTGCTTTATTTTTGGGCCCAGCTGGTGAGGAAGACTCTTTAAGGGCTGAAGTAATGGCTTTGATGGAAGGGGTACTACAGAGGGCAGGATTCCAAAAGGGTTGTGATGTGGCTGCAGAGAGAGGAAGCTTTTTTTCTTTTTTTGAAGAGAGTGAAAATTCATTAATCAAAAAAAAAGTGAGTTACAATCCATAAGTGACAAGATGGAACCTCACTAGACACATCAAAACAAACTCTAACTAAGAACAAAAACTACTCCATATTACAGCAAATAAATTTCAAGATCAATCATTCTCCCCCATCTCTGATCTACTGATTAGATCAAAATCTGGTAGCACCCAAACCCAATTCGCTACTAGTTCCCAACCAGAGCCACTAGTGTTTCAGTGTTACAGAGAGAAGAAGCTAGGATGTGGAGGTACAACATAACAACAATGAGAAGAAGAAACTTTGATGGATTACTAGGAATATGGATTTTAGGTTTCAATGGGTGAAAAGAACTGCAAACTCTATGACTGACGCTCTAGCCAAACAAAGAGTGGAGAGAAATCAATTATTTTGAGCACAGTTGTAAACTTTTGTTTTTACTTTGAGGGGAAAGACAAGAGAGCTTATCTCTCACTGCCTTCTCTGTCTTGTACTCCTACTCTTATACTTGAATGAAAATTACAGTTATTGATCAAAGAAAAATGAAAAAACTAGTCCTTAATTCTTTTAAAGCATAAAAAATGTACACAGAAAAACCAAAAAAACATTGTTGTATAACTTGAAGTGAAGCACCATAAACCCAACTGGTAGTAAGGTGTTTGATGAAAAGACACAAGTATATGAGACATGAAACAGAATTCAGCGCATTAAACTCCAAGAATTTAACAAATTAATAACCATAAGCATAGGTAAAAAAAACAAGAAAAAGAGAAAGCTACCTTGAATTAATAGAGATAATGCAGCACTAAGAGATGCATTTGGTCTCAACATTGCTAATGGCCGTCTTGATTCCCCAATTTTTGGAACCCATGTACCCAAAGGAATTGAACAAATAGGCTGTTGCAGGATTGGCAAGGAGCTGGAAGAGTGTCTAAAATGCCTGCAAATACCTGCAAATTACAAGTTTTAAGTCAGCAATAGAGCATTCCTCATCAATTAGTAAACCAAAAAATAAAACTTACATTTCAGTATTCCTGACAAGGAAGCAAGATGCAATAGTTGTGGAAATGAACCATCCTGAGAAGTAGAATGGATAATAGGAACTGTTGCCACCTCATTTCTTAGAAGTTTCAAGGCAACATCTTTTAAAGAATCATATGGTCCAGCCTGTACATACATAAACATGCCAGAAGAACTTTGAATATTCCATTGAAAATACCACATGTTCATATTCCAGAAATAGAACATAGCTAATGAATTTTACAGAAAATGAGCAAAGAAAATTTCTCCAACATTTCATATTTTACTAACTTGGCATTCAGTTGGAATATCATAATCATCTAACATACCTCACTTAAGCAGGAATTGTTGTAAAAGTCCTTCCCTATATTCCACTATATCTAAAGACCACATTCAGCTGGAATATCATTGTCATCTGCCATACCCCATTTAAGCAGGATTTAAGTCACCGTGTTTCACTATATCTAAAGACCATCCTCTGTTAACACAGTATCAGAAGTTTGCTCTCTTCTCAACACCTGAATCAACTATCAAGCTTCATCTATTGCATTTTACCTTAAGAACCTTCAATTTGCATCAAGTCACTCAGAGGTATATCCATTGATCTCTGCCTCACCCCTCAGGGGTGAACCCATTGGTGTAGGGAGAGCTGTTAGGGATCATTGTGGCATCATAATTCTTAGCTTCTCAGCTTAGCTGGCTGAAATGTTGGGTCTAATTCAAGGGTTAAAACTGATGGTGCTGCATGGAAATAAAACATAGTTTTCAAGGCGCCAGGATTTTTTTAAGTAAAAACCACATATCCTAGGGTAGTTCCCTAGGTTCCATAACCAACTTTCTTTAATAACTATCCATAATTTTCATAAGAAAATTATAAACTTCATGTTTAAGTCTAGAAAATCAACATATTTATGAGAAGNCAACATATTTATGAGAAGAAAGGAAAAAAAATTCAAAAAATATAGGGGCTGAACCCCTATTTTTGTTATAGGAAAAGAAGAAAAGAAAAGGTGGAAGAAGAAGAAGAAATGTGTTGATTAGACAAAATTTTAAGTTCTTCCCTTACTTATTGGTTCAGATTTTGAAGTCATTGAGGGTTCAATACAGCAGTTAGGAATGTTTGTGTTGATTAAACCCTACCAAATAAGAAAATAATAAAAAAAATTAGTTTATAAACACAAAAAATGAATGTTTTTCTTTAATAATGTCTATTTTATAATTATAATCTCAAAATAAATAACAATATAAAAAAAGTATTTTATTACACAGTATGCAAAACTGCTTGGTGCCTGGGCGAGGCGAGCCTCCAAGGGCGCCTTGTCGCCTTGACAACTATGGAATGGAGGATGTGGAAGTGGAGGGAGATTGTCAAACTATTATCTGTTGGATGAGGGAACAAGACGTTGTAATCCATAAAAACTTGTTTTCATTTTTTCTGTTTTGAGGATCCATTTGTGGAAAGTTATTATGTACTCTTTGGCCTGCTGCCCACCTTGGTGAGCGGCATGGTGGTTTCTTATTAATGACATACATTCAATTATTCATCAACACAGACACAACTATGAGAAAATATTTGCTCTTAATGAAATGTATAAAATCACAAAAACTATTGTGAGGTTACACCACCAATTTTTGGTGATCATAAAATTTATGCATACTTATTAAAATTTATGTAAAAAATGAAATTGCTTAAGCCTAGAATAAAATCAATTTTAAGTTCCATTGTCCTGCACCAGTGAAAACCATATGAATAATAAAGAATGCGGGATTAATACCACATCAAGGCTTAAGCACTCACATGGATTAGACGCCTTGGTAATGCTCTCCCATGCCCATCAACCTGTCTATCAAGAAACATCTTTCCTTCTTTCCAAGCAGATATAGTGTGTGTCTCAAGTTCTTCCTCGGTCAGATTCGATCCATGACTTCCAAGCTGCAATTGAAAAGGTTACATAGCACTACACATCAAGGACTTTGACCTTCTGAATGGCACACAATGAAAATAGTAAAGAGGCAATATAAAGGATAAAAATAATCTATATAACAAAGAATAAAAAGAATGCTATTTTCAGAAAAAACAGCAGCCAAAATATTCAAGCATCTTCCAAGAATATTAGCCCATCTGACATGTAAAACGAGCAAACATAAAAGTGTTAAAACTTGCTCATGCATTCAAAACGAGAAGCAAAAAGAGGAGCAGGGAGGGAAGCCCCTGCCTCTCTCTCTCTCTCTCTCTGGCATGGTATCAGAGAAAGCCACGATCTGATTTGCATAAAGCTTCTTTTTTATTAGCGTTCTCTCTGTCCATTTTGGGCCTCCCTAACAGTATTTGGGAAGCCTTCGAGTGCCCTTGAATCCCTTTTCAAGGGCTGCTTTGATCACAACTATACAGACCAGTTCTCTGGACTGCTGTGCCATCAGATTGGCCTGAATCTTTAGATCTGGTGTTGTCTATAGGAGATTGATTGATGTTCTTTGGTTTGGTTTGGATCAGTTTTGATCTAGAAGGGTTTCGATCTACTTCTGGGTTCAGCAGACTATCACAATTTCCTTTTCTAAACATCTATTGAAAGGTACTTCTCTCTGTCTCTCTACCTTCTGACTTGAAGTCTATCTACTATTTTGGAAGTGTGCACTGCTGTTCTTTGTCCTTTTTAATGGTGTCAGAAAGAATGGATGTTCTCCCTATCAAGTTCAATGGTATGAAATATGTTTTGTGGAAGTTTAACTTTCAATTCCATGTTAAGGCAAAGGGACTTTGGGGATACTTGGATGGATCTGTACTGTAGCTAAACCTGATGATTCAGATATTAAGACTCTTAATCAATGGAAAATTGATAATGCAAAAAATTGCATCATGGATCCTAGGATCAGTTGAAACTGATATTGCAATTTCTATGAGCAAGGTTCAAAGTATCAGATACGCTTAGCGTATCAAGAAGGCAATTTTAAGATACGTGTCGAGATACGCTTTGAATACGAATGCATATCGAAGAAAAATTAAGATACGCATAGGAACACTATAAAAACTTCAATATAGCATAAAAATACAGTAATAACACTAAATATAAGGCTTTAATAAGATATATACATTAAATTAATATATTTTAATAGAATTTATGAGGAACCGCATCATACTCAAGTACTCAACATATGTGAACATCTAAACAATGTTTATTAAAATTATAATTACATCAATATTTAATAACTCAATTCAACACAAAATATTAATATCTAAAATTAAAGAAAAAAAATTTAGTAACAGAAGTGTAAAACATACCTTCATTTTTTAATTATAAAATTGATGGATCAGCCATATATTAAAAATATATTCAGTCCTTAGAGTTAGGGCTATATCATAACAAAATGTAATTAAATATTATTTATTATTATTTTCTGAAAATTACAAAAAAAATTATATTTTAATAATAAATGTCAAATGAACTATGGATATGATAGATCAGCCATATATTAAGAATATATTCAGTGTTTATGGACAAGTCATAATAAAAAAATAATTAATTAATATTATTTTTAATTCTGAAAATTACAAAAAAAATCATATTTGAAAGATAAATGTCAAATGATCTATGGATATGATAGATCAGCCATATATTAAGAATATATTCAGTGTTTATGGATAAATCATAATAAAAATAAGTAATTAATATTTACTTTTAATTCTGAAAATAAAAAAATTCAAAAAAATCATATTTGAATGAAAAATGTCAAATGATCTATGGATATGATAGATCAGCCATATATTAAGAATATATTCAGTGGTTTATGGACAAGTCATAATAAAAAATAATTAATTAATTTCTATTTTTAATTCTGAAAATTACAAAACAAAATCATATAAATGTCAAATGATCTATGGACATGATAGACCAGCCATATATTAAGAATATATTCAGTGTTTATGGACAAATCATAATAAAAAATAATTAATTAATATTTATTATTAATTCGGAAAATTACAAAATAAAATAAAATAAACATATTTGAATGATAAATGTAAAATGATCTATGAAT